CATACCTCCATATTGGACACTATTGCACAACATAAACATATCATACCTCCATATTGGACACTATTGCACAACATAAACATATCATACCTCCATATTGGACACTATTGCACAACCTCCACTTTTTAAGGAATATTTCAACTCAGTAAGTTCTAGAAATTTCTTTAATCCGTAACCTGCCACCTCCTTAAAACATGATAGAAATACAGGGTGTCCCACATCATATTGGATTGTTAATGTATGTTAATACAGGGTGTCCCACATCATATTGGATTGTTAATCGCTCTAAATTAGGATTTTCGGGACTAATCAGACAATTTAAAATCATTTTTGAAAATTGCATAAAGCCAATGTTAAAATTTGTTTGCAGAAATTCCAAGGGTTTTCAGGTTTTTTGATCGTATTTTAGCGTTACAGCTTGTAGATAATTCAATATAACATGGGACGCTGTGTACGATAAAAGAATATTTTTTAATTCATAATTTTAAAATGTTTGTACCTGCATGCATAATATGTACGGTTGTAATTCTCTAAGATTTTAAAAAAATGATAAAAATGTTTAAAGTTTGCTTTAAATTTTCAACAAATCCTTTGAAAAAATACCTTCCCCCATTCGTTTAAAAGTTTAAAAGTTAATACTTCATAGCCCCTATACTTTTTGCCATTTCATAATTTTTTTTTGATAATGCTCCAAGAAATTGGACATTGAATACCAAGCAAAGAAAAATCTATTATTTTTTTCCCTGTACAATTCAACAATTTGGTCCAGATTATGTTTCCCATCTGCTGTGTACCAGTCATGTACATTGTAACTATATAACTTTGTCTTCAACATCTTAACCCTATTCCTGCTGGGNGGAAGAAATCATCATCATTGGAGTACTATTGGAGACCCCAAGATTTTCATTTGAAACAACAAGATTTTCATTGGAGACCCCAAGATTTTCAACGGAAACAACAAGATTTTCATTGTAGACCCCAAGATTTTCATTGTAGACCCCAAGATTTTCATTGGAAACCCCAAGATGTTCATTGGAGACCCCAAGATTTTCATTGGAGACCCCAACATTTTTATTGGAGACCCAAAGATTTTCATTTGAGTCCCCTAAATTTTCACTGGAGACCCCCAAAGTTTCATTGGAGACCCGAAAATTTTCATTGGAAACACTTAACTTTTCTTTTTAAGACTCAGAATTTTCTTTTATAACCCTTCAATTTTCAAATGCAAAGCTGGGGTCTCCAATGAAAGCCTAGAAATTATTATCAAAATAAAATATCATTGAATAGCTTCCAGTTGCTTATATTTTAAAAAGTGTTTATTTTAAAATTTGTTAAAACAATAGGTTTCCTGATGATTTTCAACATATTTTTTTCTGAAAAATATCAAAAATTAGTTTTCACTGTAATATGATAAGTTTTTTTGAATTGTTTATTAGTATAAAAGTTAAAAATGTAAAATCAACGGCACGTTTTCATCAACTTTTTCCATTTGAAAATTAATGATATAGCAAAGGTTTTATTTTTTTTCAAAAAAAAGAGAAAAGTTTCAGCAAAAATAAAACAATAAATTGTTGTTAGTCTCCTGTTTATTGTATATTGTATATTATATATTGTATATTGCATATTGTATACGTGTGCTTGACTATGGTAGGCTGTTGTTAATAAACTGCACCAGTGCTTAACTACAACTGCACGAAAGCAAGGTGTGTGTATGCTGTATACTGTATATATCATGATATATCACAGAACAAATATTCTTTTTTGAGATCTAGATATTTATTATCTCCGTATCGAGATTATATTAATTGTACAAAATTGTTCACATATATTTAATACAACTATTTAACGATG